TGTGATATTAACTTGAAATAATGCGATGTGTACTTAAAGATCTGAGAAAGTGCTCTCAGGCTGCTATGAAGCCATTAGAGGCAAGTTCAATGTCCCCAAGGACATTGTGAATGATAAAGCTCGCCAACAATAGCCAAACATATTTGACCACCAGGTTTTAGTAAAAATAAAATAAAATAATTACTGAAAGAGTGGAGCAGTGATGACCAGGACCACTCTGACAGTGCACCTCATTTGTCCTGGCCCAGGAGGACAGATGACTACTCTGAAACAGGAATCATTTTCAGTCCATTTCTTCCCTCACTACAGCATCTGGACTCAGGTTTCTTTCATGTTGCTGTTAAAAAGAAGTATTTAGATAAAAAAGACTCTACTCACTGATGCTAATTTAAAAGGAGAGAGAGGGTAAATAATTCACAGTAAGATTTTGCTACAAAATATGTCATTATAGCTCAGCTAATTGTACTTAGAAAATCATATTCTTTCCTTTTTAAATTTCGCAAATAAATACATTTCCTGAATCGCCTGGGATGTACTCACTACCAAAATAAAAGGCTCCTCTGTAATTTATTTATACTGAAATTTTAATAGAAAAGCAGTTTCAACTTGTTACTTCCTCAAAGCCTTTCTTTTAATCAAAACTTACTTATGCACTCCTTTCAGCACGCAGTCATCTAGTGGTTGAAATCTGAATAATCAGGTAATATATCTAAGGAAGTTGCACATGCTGCTGTAAGTCACAGAGTACATCTTGAAAGCAATATAAATTATAACAAGATATACACCTTTCTTCCTATTCCTTTGCCAACTACCAGATAGAGTCAGGAGTTCATTATAAATCTTTTGGAATAAATACAATCAGGCATATCCCAAAAGAAAGGGTTAAAATTGGATTCACCAAAGTGAACTGCATGGCATCACTGACATATGGTTTATGAAAATGTGCTTTCTGACACCTCCTTCTTGAACTGAGGACCAGAGCTGAGTGAGCTTCTGCAACTGGGAGGTCCCACTCTCTGTGACTCTCACTGAGTGCTGCCACAGGCTACGTGCTAAATTTAAGAGTCTCAACATTCTCTAAAAGAACAGTACCAGCCTTCCTGTGGTAAAAGTTGAGAAATAGTTATGTTGGTTTAAAAATAAAATCAAATGGTTGGTAAAGTACATATGTAGAGATTCATCTGGGAAAGATATTTAGAATAGTAATACACTCATGCTAAATACAGTATTTCTCTACTTTTTTAATTTAAAACAAGTAGTCCTATGGTTCCTTGATTTGTTTATCCTCTATACTTTAATATCCTCTATACTCATACATAATCATCTTCCATCATGTGTCTACTCAGCAGCAAATTATTTTTATTGGATAGTGCAGGTTTTAAAGTAAGGCAGAAGTCTTTCACTCGTTTCTCTTGCACATGAGTTACTTGGGAAACAAAATCACACAGTGCGTCCACAGGTTTATCCCAACAACAGCCCTAAAACATTAAAAGTTTGGCCTTTCCTGACAAAATCATCCATTGATTACTTCACAGAAAAGGTGAAAATGCAAACTTCTGAGACATTTTAATAATTCCTACAACAAAAACAACAATTTGAAAGTGCAGGCCTCACTAAAAATGGCATATATTATTATGTACATTATGCAAATATTCTTACATGGAGTTCTTGTGCAACAAGATAGAAAGGAAGAAAGGAAACAAGGGAAGAGAGGGAAGGGAAGCGAATGGATGCAAGGAAGGGAGGGCAGGGGACGAGAAGGGATAAAGAAAAGAAAAATGGCCTGGGTAGTTCCCTAGGACTGTGGTACAACCCAAACTGGTTAAGAATCTTTTACAAAGAAAAGAAGAAAGAGGTCCAGTAAGCTACATTCACCACTGGTCACCATTGGAGACTAATGGGCTAATTAGAATAAAATATTTCTCAAAGATAGCTACTATCCTTCTTAAATCTAAAAGGGGTCATTCAGCTTCTATTATAATTTAGTCATTCAGCATAGAAGGAATGAAGAATAACCATAAAATACGTGATGGTAGTATTTATGACATATTCAGTGACACTCATGTGTAAAACAGAGTTTTTGTTTTCCTCCAGATTCCTTTCTGAATAATGTAGTGATATCATAGATTTCCTCAAACTCTAAGCACAAAGAGAATCTCTGTGAAAGTAAGATGAGAGACATTTTCTAATGATTATAAATATAGCTAACTTTTCTAAAAGAAAATCATGAATTGCATTAAAATTAGACTATTAATCCTGGGTCAGAAAATACACAAAAACCCTTATTTTTAATACAAATACAATTCTCCATTGTAAAATTTCTTTTTATGGATTTATTATATAACCTAACGTTTCTCAAATTAAGACTCTCAGAACAATATTACAAAGGATATAAGGAACTTGAAGACATGAAACACAAGACTCCATTAGGAAATACCAGTGGAGGCTTCATTCCTCCCATTCTTTCTTCTCCACACCAACATTTTCTTACCCTGAATCCCATTTTCTGCCACCTCCAAACTCATTTTCTTTTCTCCTTTTGCAATTCACCTCCAGACTATTTTGAAGTACAAAATAGTTATTAGCGAATAATAACTGAGTACCTATAATATCTGTAGCAAAATAAATATGTCAAGCATGATTTAGTATCATGCTTCTCAGACACTTGGCCCCTTCTCTCTTCCCAGTTCTCTTGAATCACAAACTGAATAACAATAAAGAAAAACACTCGAGCAATATGTTAAAATTGTCTCCATGATGGTTTAATAAAAATGTTGAGGTTAAAATAATATAATTTCAATGCATATACTTTAACTCCTTCCTTTTCTCTCTTCAGCATTTGAACTAATTGAAATTTATGTGACCTTAAAACCACACAAAAAATAAACAAACAAACACCTCTCTCTAAAATCACTTTTGCTCCAATAAGAGTTGGATCTGAAACCTGAAACTTGCTTTTCACATTTCCTTATTTTTTTTTTCTCTTCTCTACTCATAAGGACCATCATTCTTCCAAGGCAGTTGATACTATTAATCAACACACTATTGAATCTCTATCTTGCTTGATATCTAAGATCACTTCTTTCCTTACATATTCCAACAGTGTCAGTCTGTCCCCCAGATTTCCGGGTTGGAAACTTAAAACTCCGTGCAACACTGTTGAGAAGCGGTAACTTTAAGAAAAGATTAGGTTATCAGAGTTCTGTCCTTATGAATATATTCTTGCCCTTACCCTGGGAAGGTAGTTAGCATGGGAGAATTTTCCTGACCAAACCTAAGGATCCTTCCCCTGACCCATCATATCTTTCTTGTGAAGCCATGCACATGTGTGCACACATCCTTCCACCACGTGATAAAGCAGCCCTTACCAGATGTAGTTCCCTCAACCTTAAACACTCAGCCTCCAGAGCTGTACGAGGTAGATCTGTATAAATCCCTCAGCCTCAGATACTCGGGCAAAGCAGCCAAAACACAGTGAAACAGTCTCTTCTCTAAACTTTTACAAGGATCTACTATATTCTTTCTCTCTGGCTTTCTTTGTAATCTCCCTTTCCTTCTCAGGCCATTCCCAGAACACTGGGGCATCCCAGGGTGATATCACAGGCTCTTTTAATTCCCTGCATAATCATATGCAGTCCCACATGTTTTAAATTCCCATCTATATACCAATAACTTCCAAATCTGTATCTGCTTCCTAGATCCTCAGAACATGTCCCAAAGCCCACTTAATTCAAATGTCTACTCAACATTTCTATTTCTGGTCTTTCAGGAAATACTAACTCAAAACATCCAAAACTGGAGGCACTTATTGGGATGCCACTTCAAACATTCTTTATTTCAATAAGGACATCATGAGCACTGTGCTGCCCAAGGCAAAAACAGGAAATCATCGTTACCCTTTTCTCTCCACCCTTTATCCTCCACCCACCTAGTAAACAGCATTGCCCTGAACTCTCTCCATGATTCAACAGGTGTTTAATCTTGCATACTTTCTTGTATCTCCATAACCACCATCTTGTGGAGCTTACTAGGCATTTTTCTGGACTGCAGAAATGAGCTACAAGAAATGTTTCTACAATGCAAATTTAACAGCATTATTTCTAAAATACTTCTTCAGCTTCTTTCCGCTAAAGCCATATCTCAGCTCCCTCCTGACTGACCTGTATGCAGCTCTCTCTCGTTAGCCATCATTCTTCTGTCCCCTTGCTCTGTAGATCCCAGTGTATCACTCTCTCTGGGGACACTGCCCATGATAGATGCTCTCATCTTATAACCACCTTCATACTAACTCCATAGAACAGGTCTTCCCTTTCCTTGTACTCTTTGTGTAACTACAATCTGTTATGCCACTAACCTTTGTTATTTTGGTTCTGGGAATCAAAATCAATGCCTCCGCCTCCTGCATGTTGCAGAAACGCTCTGTCACTGAGCTACATTCCCAGCCCCAGGTCGTATTTTAGAAGTCTTCTCAAAGATGCCTTGCTTGAAATAAGTTCAATAAATCACTTTTACAGTTGTAGCCATAAGTATTATACGATTGGTATATATTATAAATACATTTAACATAAAATTGTAGGTTATAAATAAGTATCATAATATTTTCAAATGAAGATTAAATGTAAATAAAACAAATTGATTATCTACTTTATCATCTCAATGCAAGCATATCATTTTCACTTTTGTAAATTTCTGTATCCCTAGATTTTTCATTAATAATCAATCTCAGTACAGAGATGAGAAAGGAACTTTCTAAGCTTCTCCATAGTTTTATATTACTCTAGCTGTAGCCATGGTACAGAAACAAGAGACTCCCATCTTTGCGATTCAGCCTTAACAAGGCATGTATTTGTCAATTCTCTCAGTTCTTCTCAGTGAGACAATGAATCATCACTTTCTTAAGGACAAACATGATGGAGAGAAGCCCCATCTCACTCTCAATACCACTATATCCTTGGCTGGGAAACCTTGAGGAGAAGCCAAACATACAAAGAAGTAAATGTGGTGTGTGCTCAGAGCAGGTGGCCTGAAGAATGGCTTCTCTGTTTACAACACATGCAACAGGAATCTAGGGTCATTATGACAAAGGACACAAAACTTTTGACCTCCCTTTGAGCAAATGTTCTCCACATGCACTCCACACACTTCCACGCAGCTCTGGATAGTACCAATGGGACGAGGCTCAGTAATGGGGAAAGCTATTGCATTTAGTGGGTGGTGGGCATTTTGAGTGTATCCATAGGTGATCTTTTGGTAGTCCTAAAAGTAAAGACTCTGAATTTATTTTTTCAATAAATTTTTAAAAAATAATTAGTGAAAGAGTTTTGGCCCAGACAGGACACTGTAGCCAGTACAGCCTCAGGCGGAACCAAGGAGCTCTATCTTCCCCACCCCTAGGAATTTACCTCTGGCACCAAACTAGTGCCAATGGCTACCTGTGCATCCCTAATGCCCCTCAGGCTCCACCCCAAACCTAAGCTACATGTATGCCCCCACTCCACGTGTTCCATGGAGAAATCGCCAACCCCAGGGGAAGATGCCACCGCTCCAGGGTGTCGGAGGTCTCTCCCCACATTCTCAAAATAAAGGTCATTTATCTTTCATACTCCTTATCTTTTCAGCCGCCATCCCCCCACAATTCTATCAATTAGAAAAGAAGTAAATGTACTACAGACAACACTGTGTAAATTGACTCCATTTTTGTATCAGTTGCAACTTGAAGTCCTCAGATTAGCCCAGAGATCCCAGTATAATCTAGCATCTTCCTCAGGGAAATAAAATCCATTTTGTCATATACTGAGTAAAAGTTTTTAGACTTTGATGAAAACTGCTTTCTTGGATGTTATTTTTTACAGTCTATCAAATAAGTTTTTGATGATGTCCTCCCATACGCATCCAGACTTGGTTAACTTCTCCATAGATTATGCTTTGCTTTGTGTTTTATTTTGCTTTCTTTCTTTCTTTTTCTTTTTTTTTTGGGGGGGGGGTGTCTTGTACTGGGAATCAAACTCAGGACGTTGCATCTGCCAAACAGGTGATGTGCCACTGGGCTATACCCTCACCCCCTATTTCCTTTCTTAATGAACTTTCCCTTTCTACCACTGTTACTTCTATTGGTGCTTGGCTTTCTTTCTTTCTTTTTTAATGACATACAAGAGTATGGTATTGTTAATAATTTATCAGAAAGATGCATTAATTTAATGAGATTGCTAAATTCATCTTATTAGTCATTTGACAAATTTCTCTTACGGAAAAAATATTGTTAGCCACTGTGCTAAATATTAATAAGACACTGAATGAAGCAGGTTATCAACCTTTACTGTTTGCTTTTAAAAGCTGACAACAGAGAGAGCATAGGAAATAAGTAAACATAATGACATTAAATTCTCCAACTTTTGTAAACATATTAAGGAGATGAACATGATAAAATGCTATAGATAAAGGGTGGAGTCTATTTAGATAGAATAGCAAAGAAGATAAACTTGATATTCTAACCAAGAGCTAAAGAACAATAAATCAACCAGGGTAATTGAGTGTGAGGTGAGCAGTCCTACACATTGGGAACAGAATATGCTAAGGCTTTGATTTGGGCACAACTTTTGGCATGTTCCCTAAATTGAATGGCAGAGTGACTTCTATTTCATAAATCAGAGATTAAGGGTTCAAGCTGAAGTTGTAACTTTGTAACTTCAAAGGTAAAGAGAAAGTGTATTCTGTAGCACCTCAGCAGTCAAGGCAAAGAATATGGAATTCATTCCAAGTACAATGAGAAGCTACTGGGACCTGAAACAGGGGAATAACTTGGTGTGGTTATAATATCAAGTGGTTTGTATTTTTAATGGGGTCAGACTGCTGCATGAAAAGCAGATTTGTGACTATTAGAGTGGGAAGGTGAAGAAAAGTGACCAGTTGGGAAATTACTGCTCCTGGCTAGAAGAAAAATGACAGTAGACTAGGAAACTGGCAATAGAGAAAGAATAGAGAAGAAAGCTTCAGGATGTAATATGCAAATTAAAACATTGGGATTTGCTAATAGATTTAAACACAATTATGCATATTTATAAGAACATCTGACTACGATTAATCTATACAAACAGTCATGATTAACTTCACATTGTGATTGTAATGGGTATAATCAGTTGGATGGATGATGCTAATTTAAACCAAATAATAATTGAGAGAAAATATTGAAAATACATGCATTCTGACAGTTCTTTTGAAGAAACGCTGAACACCTTTTCAGTTGAATAAGCCTTCTACAATCATTAGTTACACATTAAGAGATTTAGTCTATGTCTGTTAAAAACCATTTCAATACAACAGGAATATTATTTTTGTCATGACTTATGCACCCCACACTAATTTTTGGAAGAAATGCTATGGACTGAGGTAGCAATAGTTTCATTGCCCAGCATGCTATCCTGTTCTTTCTCTCACAAAAACATCCTTGTTCTTTGGGTATGCTTATCTTTCATAGATTTGGCTGTGTAAAAGGGTCATGCCTGGCTCTGTACCTGATTTTACTTTCCTCAAAAAACTGTAGAAGGATGGATCAGCTTGTATCCAATCAGGGCTTCCCTGGATGTTTTTAAATTGCACATGATGAATGACTGTCTACTCCCAATGTAGAAGTGGACTACTGGTACAAAAAACATCTGAACATAAGATAACAGAAAAGCTTAGAGTACAATAGAGGCTTTTAAAAGAGTTCAAATAGTCTGAGTTGAGTTTTTCTCACTGTAACTGGTCATCTTAATTTACACAAAAAAAGACAAATTTAATACAGAGTAGTTGAACCATATCAATACTAAAGTTTAAAAGGTTAAAGTTGAATATTACAAGTTGAAAGGTGGAAAACATAAGAAACAAACTGTATCACATACAGGAACAAATTCTGTATGATGTATGTGATCCTTCTATATATATCTAAAATGTACCAATAAATTCTGACTGGTTACTGTCTAAAAAACAAGCAAAAGTTAAATATTATCAAAGTTAAAACATGAGACTTGTTTATTTTGCTTTGTCTTAGAATAGAATTCTATATATGTAGCATTAAATAGTTCTAACATATCCATGGTTATAACTTCAAACTAAAAATAAATGTGTGTGTGTGTGTTTGTGTGTGTGTTGCATGTATATTTAAGACTGGATCTCTCTCTTTCTCTCTCTCTCTCTCTCTCTCTCTCTCTCTCTCTCTCTCTCTGTCTCTCCCCCAGATAGATAGATACAGATATCTCACATTTCTGGCAGAACACTTAAGAAACTGTCAGTGGTGCTTGGAAAACAAAGGAATAGGAGTAGGAGAAGGAACTTTAGGGTTAGCTAAAATTGTAACTAAGGGAGAAGGCAGATCTCAAATAGCACAGTTGAAAGCAGTGATAAAAAAGTATATATAGTTAATTCATTCAAATGCTTTGACAAAATGATTACATCAGGTTGCTGCTGAAGAAAGATAAGTGTCCTGAGTGAATAATACATGTGACCACTATGCACTGTTTTCTAAAAAGTCTTTTTGGATTGGACGAATAAGAAATATTGAGAGAAAATATTAAGGCTAAGACCAATCTCCTTACTGGAATAAGAGAAATGCTAAGTATAAGTAGCACAAAATTACATTCTATAATAGATTTCTTATGAGTCTACTTGGACTGCAAAACTAAATTTTTAACTTCATATGTGGCAATTTAATTTCAACTAATGAAGTTTAGAACAGTTTGTTTGAAAAAACAGATAACAGATGCATGTAAGAAGAATCAAGATATATCATGTAAAGGTGCAAATTCAGAACGATGAATGTTATCTCTGTGTATATCTAAAATGTACCAATAAAAATTAATTACAGAAAAAAGACAGAGGCACATACACTTCTCTAGACTAATGAATTATGAAAACATAGCAATGAGAAGAGAAATACAAACATTAGACAACTCCTGAAGGAGCACAGAAATGAAGCAAGCGAGGACTGCATTTATCCTAGGAATCCCCAGTGCTGACAGAGAAGTGTCCCTTCCTCTTCTGGACCTTCATCTGGTCATTTTTCTCCATCATCAACAGATTCCTCAGCTACCAAGTATACCAAAGAAAGCCAGATATGTATCTGCAACTCTCATATTGAACACCATGCCAGCTTCAATCTTTTACCTGGGAGTTTCTCCATAGATGACCCCATTACAGACAAGTAATTTAGACAGATGTTAATATACAGTCAGAGAGGGATTGGGTCCTCAAAGAGGTCAGCACCAAAAGATAGAGATATCAGAATTATGGCTGGGGGCAAACCTGAAGAGAGCCAGGTCTGCAAGATAAATAGCAATTTGAGTTTATTCTTCAGGTAAGTGACTAGATCTATACTCCTTTCCCCAAAATCCCTTTGTTCTTTCCATATACTCTTCCTACTATGTGACTCATTTCCCCTATTGGATGAATAAACTAAGAACTATACTTATGATGCTATAGGTGACTGTAGTTTGACTCATGCTGTGATTTTGTTATATAAATTACTCCACACAAAGGGTCTCATAGGCCACACATCGGGACTTCTTGGGAAATCCGCTTATTTCTAATAAAACTCTCAATTTCTTCCTCCGGTTCACAACTTCATTCCTTCATATTGTGAGACCACGAACTTGGCACATTTGGCATCTAATATGTCAAGAGTTTTATTTTTCTTACAGCAATCAAGTCACTGAAGTCTAATATATCCACAACAACTCGTTATATCCCATTCAAATTTCTAAAGTTTTCTAATTCCCAACTAACTCATCTCTATACACCAATTTAATATCTAAGCTAGAAATGTTTGAATTTCTTACCAAATCTTATTATTCAAGATTCACTTCCAGGCTAGGAGCACAGTTCAGTGGCACAGTGCCTGCCTGGCAAAAATGCAAGGTCTTGAGTTCAATTCCCCAAACAAACAAACAAACAAACAGATTTGCCTCCAGTGATAGCTCATCTAAAATGTTTACAACCTCTTCAGTTTCATTAATCTTCCTAGTACATTAACAATATAATGTTGTGTAAATGTCTTTATTGTAACATGTATACCACTGTGTTGTGGAGGTTTATTTTTGTTGAACTATTTGACATTAAACTAGGATTTGGTAGCAGGCAAGAAATAGCAAATACA